TAGAAAAGAAGAAAGCAAACTCATTGCATTTGCTGTCGGACAGCATTTCACTGGGAATCTGACTTGGGGGGGTCTGTCAGTCTCTCAACAGTTGCAAAAAGAGTGCGAGTGTTAAGTTACTGTTTATAAGGTTTGAGAAGAAGGTCTGTCTAGCTGTGGCTAGTTTCACATTGAAAGCATGAAGGCTATCTTTAAAGATGCTATAGTGAATTTCAAGTTTCGTCTTCCGCCACATCCGCTCAGCTTTTCTGCATTGTCTTTTCATACTCTGATCCTTAATAACAATGGACGAAATGTTTAGACCTCTACTGATGAGTAAATCTAGAGTGTGTCCACGATTGTGTGTGGGTCCACGCTGAATCAGGTCAAAAGTGTTTAAAACAGTTATAATTTTTTTTTTGAAGTTTTGATTTCTGCATTATCTATGTGAATATTAAAATCCCCTGCAATAGCAAAACAGTCAAACTCTGAGGAAATCATTGATAACAGTTCTGTAAACTCTTCAACAAAGGCTGGAGAGTATTTTGGAGGCCTGTAAATAATTATAAACTACGGAGCCCGGGAAGTCACCTGTAGGAGAAAAAAAAAACAACCCGTGGCGATGGTTTTGCAATCCGTCCCCTCAGTTTATAAACCGTACTCACGAATTCTTAAACTGTTCCGTCGGTTTAACAAATCGTGCCCACGGATGAATAAACCATACCCACGAATTTCCGATCCGTGCGCTCAGATTTTGTAAACCGTACCTTCGACTTATTTAGGTGATTTTATTATTGTCACGGGGTTGACAAGACGTGAGACGTGCGGATCCATCTGCAAGTTTTTATTTAAGAGCCGTGGTCAGAAACATGCAAGGGTCAGACAATGGCAACAGGTATATAGAGGGCAAGACACAAGAATAAATCTAGGGCTAGTGTGGGTCTACGATCGGCGAACAGAATCAACAGGGAGAGACTAGAGAGATAAATCCAGGTACAAGGCAAAGGTCCAGGCAGGGGCAAACAGTATCCGAGTAGGGCAAGACGAGAGGGGGAAACCGAGATTCACAGGCCAAGATCAGGACACGAGAAAACAGACAAGGCAAGACTAAGATAAGGCTATGGAAAAACTAGACAGGCTCCGTAGAGTAGCTATCGCTATGAGAGTGATAAACGCTATACAATACTCAGCCATGAATGGTGGTGTGAGACTGATTATATAGTGTGTGTTATTGGTAGCAGCTGTGTGTGATTGGTTTCAGGTGCGCTTGTGATTAGTGCAATGGAGCATGGGAAATGTAGTCCAGGGTGATGTGTAACAGTCTGTGTGGTGTGAGAGTCAAT